TTCCCGCGGACATTAGACWGGCTCCTTCCRTGATGATATTCRGCAGGAAATTAAAGACTTGGTTGTTCAAGAAGGRYTTRYAACAAGAAGTGCAATGATTGGTAATGACTTTAGGAATGGAACAARGGAAAATGATACTGGATTGTGYTTTGGACGATGAGACGACGCTGAATGGTTTTCGTAGTAATGACGATGTTTTGTATAARGCTGGATTGTGAATTGTTTTTTATACTGTGTCTTGAATTTTGTTGTTCCTATGTTGTACACCACTGTGAGTCGCCCCATGGCTGAGAACAGCGGTATATAAGCAAAGCAAAGCAAATTAATTAATTAAATAATAAATAACATTGGTGGACAGGAAAAGAGATTTAAAGATGGGCTCAAAGCCAACCTCAAAAACTGTGGCATAGACACCGAGAACTGGGAGCGCTCTAACTGGAGGTCAGCTGTGACCAGCAGTGCTGTGTAATTTGAAGAGGCATGAATGGGCAGCAAAAGGGAGAAACGTGCCAGGAAGAAGGTGTGTCAAGCCAACCCTGACCAGGATCTCCTTCCACCTGGAAACCGATGTCCTCACAGCAGAAGAACATGCGGGTCAAGAATAGGGCTCCACAGTCACCTACGGACTCACCGCCAGGACACTACAACTGGAGAACCATCATCCTCAAGCTACAAGGAATCGCCTAAGTAAGTAAGTAAGTTGAACTCCATTTGTTCTACAGTGCAAATCAGGGGTCCTCAAACTTTTTAAACAGGGGGCCAGTTTACTATGCCTCAGACCGTTTGAGAGCCGGACTATAGTTTGTTTTTGTTTTTAATTTGATCAAATTCCTATGCACACTGCACATATCTTATGTTGCTACTGTTATGAATCGTAATGTAAATATCTGATACGCAGGATGTATTTTCATTGTTACAATCTGAACATAAGGCATCGTGATTAATCACAAAAACAATATGTAATTATACACTGTGAAATATTTATTTCGAATTACAAATAAATGACATTTTGACTTCAAGCATGTCACAGCAAGGGTAACAGTCTTAATGTAACAGCAGGGAACCCATGAATATGTTTACTGATCAACCTATCAGCTGAACTCCCATCACCAACAGAACATATTGGAGAGGATTGCGGGAAAATAGACCTTGGCATTTGGGAGGTGCTGGGATGTATAGCTTACCTGCCATTGAAGATCATCCTGGAGGGGTCCAGGCCTGGATCCAGTGGAGGAAAGGGAGGCTGCACCACGTGGAGCCCCTCGCCAGGCCCAATCTTTCCGGCAAGCAATGGAAGTGGCGAGGGGCTCTGCACGAGAGCAGGCTGCGTGGTGCAGCCTCCCTTTCCTGGCTTGCTCAAGGGGCAGCGCAAGCCAGGAAACTGCACCGCGCAGCCTAGCCTCGCACAAATCCCCTCACCACTTCCATTGCTTCCAGGCGAGGGGACTGAGAAGCGTTTGGGGCTTCACGCGAGGCTCAATCCCCTCAACGGGCCGGATAAATGCCCTCGGCAGGCCTCATGTAGCCCGCGGGCCGTAGTTTGAGGACCCCTGGTGTAGATACACCCAATCCCCAAGGTTTTATTTTCTCCCTTTGCAATTTTATGAAAGGATAGCTTTTGCTCCGTTGAGTCTCAAAACGTAACCGGACCTGAGTTAATTATTTAATAGCAATTTTATGCAGTGGCCCAAGAGCTGGGCATCTCTGGATTGTTTGTGTCCATTTATCACCAACCTAAAGATCTCACCACGCTAAAGCAGTGGATGTGGCTCTGAATGAGACATGCCGCATTATCACGGGGTGTCTGCACCCTACACCACTGGAGAAATTACACTGTCTAGCTGGTATTGCACCACCTGACATCCGCCGGGAAGTAGCAGCCAATAGTGAAAGGACCAAGGCAGAGACATCTCCAGCTAAATCCCTTGTTTCGGTATCAGCCAGCACGTGAACAACTTAAATCAAGAAATAGTTTTCTAAGATCTACAGAGACACTCGCTGGAACACCCCAGCAAGCGAGAGTCCAAAAGTGGCAGGCTCAAACCCAGAACCTCAATCAATGGCTGATACCAAATGAGAGACTCCCCTGGGCACACAGAAGACTGGGAGACTTGGAAGGCACTGAACAGACTGCGCTCTGGCACCACGAGATGCAGAGCCAACCTTAAGAAATGGGGCCACAAAGTGGAATCCATGACATGCGAGTGTGGAGAAGAGCAAACCACTGACCACCTGCTGCAATGCAACCTGAGCCCTGCCACATGCACAAGGGAGGACCTTCTTGCGGCAACACCAGAGGCTCTCCAAGTGGCCAGATACTGGTCAAAGGACATTTAATCAACTACCAAGCTTGCAAACTTTGTGCTTTGTCTGTTTGTTTGTTTTGTTAAAAATGTAATACAAATGTCTGTGGTTGCTCCTGACACGATAAATAAACCAACCCAAAGGAAACCCATAGTGCAAAAACATCATTTGTTTATACATTCATATTTCCCTATGGGCTCAAAGCCACAGGTATCAATAGGGCAACCATATGTCAGAAGGAAACAGCAGAAAACATTATTAGTACCATTCCCTGGGACACAAATCCCTTGCTGTTTCCCATTTAAATAATATTTAACTCGATAGGGGTTTCGCCCAAGAAAAGGAAACAGACAGTAGTTTTTTACTTTGGTAAACAGCTCTTCTCAGCAAACCTGGTGCAAAGAATTACAGCAAATGATCCTTGGCTAGAAAATCAACTATTGCCTTCAAGGCTTATTCAAAAGGGAAGATAATAGAAGTGAAATAATGGATCAAAAATTACTTAATTTGTGCACAACAAGGCACTCCTATATGCAGGAGAGACATTCCTGGTTTCAGGTAACCACAGATACAACCAAACAGCATTAATGTCTTGTCGAAGGCTTTCATGCCCAGAATCACTGGGTTGTTGTAGGTTTTTTGGGCTGTATGGCCATATTCTGTGAGGTCCTGTGAGGTCTGAGGATGCTTGCCATAGATGCAGGCGAAACGTCAGGAGAGAATGCTTCTAAAACATGGCCATACAACCCGAAAAACCTACAACACAGAACAGCATTAAAATTGGGTTGTTGTATGTTTTTTCGGGCTATATGGCCATGTTCTAGAGGCATTCTCTCCTGACGTTTCGCCTGCATCTATGGCAAGCATCCTCAGAGGTTGTGAGACCTTATAACCTCTGAGCATGCTTACCATAGATGCAGGCGAAACGTCAGGCGAGAATGCTTCTAGAACATGGCCATATAGCCCGAAAAAACATACAACAACCCAGTGATTCCAGCCAACAATACAGCATTAAAATTCCCAGTATACAGCATACTGAACAGCATTAAAAATTGACCTGGGAGATCTAGAGATTTAGACCCCACCTACATTGCCTTATAAAATCCACATTATCTGCTTTGAACTGGATTATTTAAGTCTAAAACATAAGAATATAAGTGTAGACTCAAGCATCTTCTACATGGCCATATAATCCAGATTATCAAAGCGGATAATCCACATTATCTGCTTTGAACTGGATTATTTAAGTCTAAAACATAAGAATATAAGTGTAGACTCAAGCATCTTCTAGATCAGTGGTTCTCAACCTGGGGTCCCCAGATGTTTTTGGCCTACAACTCCCAGAAATCCCAGCCAGTTTATCAGCTGTTAGGATTTCTGGGAGTTGAAGGCCAAAAACATCTGGGGACCCCAGGTTGAGAACCACTGCTCTAGATAGAGTGAGATTATCAAAGCGGATAATCCACATTATCTGATTTGAACTGGATTATATAAGTCTAAAACAAAAGAATATAAGTGTAGACTCAAGCATCTTCTACATGGCCATATAATCCAGATTATCAAAGCGGATAATCCACATTATCTGCTTTGAAATGGATTATTTAAGTCTAAAACATAAGAATATAAGTGTAGACTCAAGCATCTTCTACATGGCCATATAATCCAGATTATCAAAGCGGATAATCCACATTATCTGCTTTGAACTGGATTATTTAAGTCTAAAACATAAGAATATAAGTGTAGACTCAAGCATCTTCTACATGGCCATATAATCCAGATTATCAAAGCGGATAATCCACATTATCTGCTTTGAACTGGATTATTTAAGTCTAAAACATAAGAATATAAGTGTAGACTCAAGCATCTTCTACATGGCCATATAATCCAGATTATCAAAGCGGATAACCCACATTATCTGCTTTGAGCTGGATTATTTAAATCTAAAACATAAGAATATAAGTGTAGACTCAAGCATCTTCTACATGGCCATATAATCCAGATTATCAAAGCGGATAATCCACATTATCTGCTTTGAACTGGATTATATAAGTCTAAAACATAAAGGTCAAGGTTTCCCCTTGACATTAAGTCTAGTCGCGTCTGACTCTGGGGGTTGGTGCTTATCTCCATTTCTAAGACGAAGAGCCGGCGTTGTCCATAGACGCCTCCTAGGTCATGTGGCCACTCATTGAGCACCATTACCTTCCAGCAGAAACCGCACCTATTGATCTATTCACATTTGCATGTTTTCGAACTGCTAGGTTGGCAGAAGCTGGAGCTAACAGTGGGAGCTCACCCCACTACATGGATTCAACTCGCCAACCTTTCAGCCAGCAATTTTAACAGCTCAGTGGTTTAACCCACTGCTCCACCGAGGGAGTCTACACTGCTACATAATCCAGTTTAAAGCAGATAATCAGGATTATGTATGGCAGTGTAGAAGGGCTTAATTATAATCCAGTTCAAAGCAGAGAATGTGGATTTTATGGCACTGTAGAAGGGGCCTTAGAGGCATCTTTTCTATGGGGAATTTGTTAGGTCTATGGGGGAATTGCCTGGAAGACAGAGCAAATTCCTAAAGAGACCATTTTCCACCAAAGCATGGATTAAAAACAAAACAAAACAAAACATGGATATTGGTTCTGCAGTAATGGGAATGTTACATAAATTGTTTATGGAAACACGAACTCAACATGTTTTGGAGCATTCTCCTAATGTTTGGGATTATTGGAGGCATTTTTGCTCCAAATATTATTTTTTAAAAAGGAGTTTTGTAAGAGACCAAATGGGTCTCGTTGCCCATCGTCTCCCTTCACTTGTTCCTAAAACTGGGTACAAACGGACCCCCAAAGAATTGAGGTCCAAACCCAAACCCAAAGGCACGTCCTGCAATTCCAGCTGCAGGTCAAGTTTCGTGTTGAAGGTCCTTTATGCCCGCCGGCATATGGCTACAAGGAGTAGGGAGGTTTATAAGGAGTTTTTCTTGATCCCCGGGCCTTTCTGGAGCCATTCCGGTGCTTCTTGTTGTGGACGTTCTTCTGGGACTGTTGGCAATTGACAATGAACCTGTTCCGACACCCGCCCCGGGCTCCCCGAGGAGATCCGTACGGCGACTGAAAGGGTGCCTGCACCAAACGTCCATCAATGGGTCCAGGAGGAGGAGGAGGAGGAAAGAGGAAGCCGTTTTGATGCATTTCTGTGCGGAAGCAAGAGAGAAAAGAGTGAGAAATGCAGGAAAAGTGAACTCAATAGGGTTATGGTCTGTGTTTCACCTGGAGATGTCTAATGTGCCCTCATAGTGGCACATTCCTATTGTATACACTAGGTATGGGCCAAGTTGGGCCCTCCAGGTGTTTTGGACTTCAACTCCCACAATTCCTAACAGCCGGTAGGCTGTTAGGAATTGTGGGAGTTGAAGTCCAAAAAACCTGGAGGGAGGGATGAAGTTTGCCCATGCCTATTATAGAGTCTCAACCAATTCAACCCAGTTTGTGGCAGTCATAAAAACAAAGTTTCTGGAGTAGAGTAACTACAGTAAAGTCTCGCTTATCCGACCTTCGGTTATCCGACATTCTGTCTTATCCGACGCTCCAGTTTTCCTCCAGCATTTCCTCCAGCTTCCCAACTCTCTCTCCATTCCCAATACATGAAAAAGGCAAGACAATGAGGAGGAGGAGGACGTAGGAAAGGGGGACAAGAGGCAGGACAGGAAGCGGAAGCGCCCTCCCTCCTTCCCTCTGTGATTTCCATGCTCCTCTTCCGCATCCGGGCACTTCCTGTTGGGTTGCTCTAGCCCCAAGGTGTTGTCTTGCCTTAACCCTGAGTCCCTATTGTTAATATTCTAGGTGTCTAGCACCACGTCGGACAGGTAACAGTAGCAGACTCCGTATTATCTGACATTTTTGTTTATCCGATGTTCTGCCGACCCGTATTTGTCAGATAAGCGAGACTCTACTGTACTTTCAAAGTAAGTGCCGCACAGTTAAACAGGAAATAATGCTTTCAAACCAGGAACAGAAATTGTCAAAGGCTTTCATGGCTAGAATCATTGGTGTTGCACTCCAGGACAGGAAAAGCCCTCTGACTTTGAACACCACACTGTTAAGTAGGAAAACAATCCTTTTTTAAAAAGATAATTAAAAAGCAGTAAAGTAAAAAAGCACTTCAAAGAAATAGGTAAATCCAATTAGGTAAGAAGATAAGCAGGAACAAAACAGTTCAGAGTAATAGTCCAGCAAAGTCCATAAAAACAAAGTCAAAACTTCCCAAATAAAATGCAAGAAATCAGGAAATATGGATCCAAGTCATGAATATAAAAGCATAGAATCCACACCACACTGTTAAGTAGGAAAACAATCCTTTTTTTTTTGTTGAGATAATTAAAAAGCAGTAAAGTAAAAAGCACTTTAAAGAAATAGGTAAAGCCAATTAGGTAAGAAGATAAGCAGGAACAACATAGTTCAGAGTAATAGTCCAGCAAAGTCCATAAAACAAAGTCATAACTTCCCAAATAAAATGCAGGAAATCAGGAAACATGGATGAAAGTCATGAATATAAAAGCATAGAATCCAAGAATCAAAAACTATGAAACAAAGGCACTTAAAACATGAATTTTCCAAGCAAAGCTTCCAGGAAAAAAGCATGAGATCTTAACTTGATTCCAAACGATGCTTCATCTGACTACATATCCTGTACTTGGAACTTTTATCTCCTTGTTAGCTATGTCTCTAGCGCTCAGAAATTGGTTTCACTTTAGCTTTGAATCTCTTATCTTTTTCTCTCTGAGCCTGGCAGAATGCCGAAGCCACTGTTCGGCTCTCCTGTTTTGACTGATCTCCTCCCGTCTATTTGCTCATTAATTTCTGCAGCTGGGCCAGGTGTCAAGCTTTTTTCATGTTCCCAATCATAGGAACTCTCTGGTAACAATCCAGAGAGCACACCATCATCCCCACACTCTTCAGGAACGTTCTCATGGGAAACTATACTTTGAACAGGGATCTCCTGGTCATTCTCTGCATCAATCTCATTGTTATCTTGAAATTCACTGAAATCACTCCCCACATCTAAAGCACCCTGGTCCTAAAATACAATCAGAGACTCAGCTCCAACAACTGGGTTATTGTAGGTTATTCAGGCTATATGGCCATGTTCTAGAAGCATTCTCTCGTGACGTTTCGCCTACATCAATAGCAAGCATCCTCAAAGGTTGTGAGGCCACAACCTCTTAGGATGCTTGCCATAGATGCAGGTGAAATGTCAGGAGGGAATGCTTCTAGAACATGGCCATATAACCCAAAAAACCTACAACAACCCAGGAACAGAAAGTTTTTCAAATTTTGCTACATGGTGTAATTCTCTATGCTTACTATGTTTTCACTGGTTTTTGCTTCTAACATTCCCTGCTAAACCTCTCTCAGGCCTCTTCTACACTGTCCTTATATCCCAGAATTGAATCCCAGATTATATGGAAGTGGAGACTCATATAATCCAGATCAAAGCAGATAATCTGGGATGAGATCTTGGGATATAAGGACAGTGTAGAAGGGGCGTCTGATACCTTCTCCAGATCATACAAACCCTTTGCAATACCCTCTTTCCCCCCTCAGCGGGAACCCACCTGCCATGTTGGGTGGTGCTGTCTGTCGGTCTCCATAGTCGTCGGGGTACCACCTATTTGGCGGGATGTCATTCTCTGGTTGGGGCGGAGGTATGGGGTGTGGCAAGCAGTTAGAGTCATAAACCACTACGTTCCCTTCGTGGAAGCTAATATCCTCCTGGAAGCTAGGGTCATTGCTGGGTCCGAGTTGGCCAGGGTGTTGCAAAGGGAGACACGGATGCTGTCTCGTGAATCCATAACCGGAGCTGCCGTTGAGTGAGAAGCCGGAGTCATTGCCAAGATTGGGCCAACTGCGACGAGGTTGTGGATCATAAAACTGCTCTTCCGTGAACCTATGACCACAGCTGCCATTGTGGTTGAAACCATCACAGACCCAATTGGGATGATGTTGAGGATTCTGCTGATAAAATCGATCTTCGACAAACCCATGACCATAGCTGTCATTGTGTCCAAAACCAGAGCCATTGCCAGAATCCAGCCAATTAGGATGGTGTTGGGGACCCTGTTGGCATGGATGCTCTTCGAAAAACTCATGGCCGTAGCTGCCGTTGGGGCCGAAACCAGAGTCGTCGCCACAACTCCTCCAATTTGGGTGGTCTTGATGACCGGACCAATCCGGTATGAATTCATTATCATAGTTGCCGTTCTGTTGGAAATTGGGATTGTCGCCAAATTGGCTATGGGGCCCCTGTTGGTATCCAAACCCGCCGGTGTTTGCGTATTGGTCTTCGTGGCTGGGATCCCACTGTCCGTAGCCATTCACCGACCCATTCCTGTAGTTCATCATGCCGGGGTGGAAGTAGCCATGGTTGCTGCGATTGAGTGGACCAAGAGGGTAGCCCTTGTCCCGCGGCGTAGAGGTCATGTTCTTCTGCCTGGGAGCGTTCACGCTGTCCATATT